CTTTTTTTTTTTTTTGCCTACATACCCAATTACTTCTCCATCTATTCTTTCAAACCCAAATATTCAATATATACAAAGTAAGACAGGAAACATGCAAGAAATTGGCAATGCCAAAACCAAAAAGCTTTAAGGGAAAGCTGGTTTAAACAGAACTTTAAAGAAATTGACTTTCACAGTAAGCACTGTCCCCAAATAAATTTACTGCACCCTAGAATGAAGTACACTCAAGACTGTCATGCCAGTCATAGATTACTTCACCCTCAATACATCTCTTCTTCCTCTCCAAATCCTAGGTTGCTTTCCGAAATAGTTCACTAAAAAGCACCAACCTAATTAACAACAGCTTCCTCTGCAACAGTGGCCTTGATTTCACTTATTTACACATTAACTACAGCCTCCTTTTGGCCAATCCAGTCTATTCTCTGTACCATGCCGAGCCTTTTATCTGCCCTGGACAGCATTTTCTCCAGCAGATGAAGTAGATGCCGATTGATTTGCTGTCGAGCATGGTAAATTAATAGCAACAAATTGCTGAGGGCCCGTCTCGCTGCTCCACCATGCTTCGGCAGTTTTGCTTTATTTGCTCCATGATGGGCAGCAGTCGGCCTCTTCAAGTCAATTTCTTCTTAACAACCTGCAATACTTTTCAATGGTGAAAATAGAGCTGTTCCTTGTAAGTCAGAAATCAATATCCTATTGCCCTTAGAAAATGCTAAACAAGCAGTATTGGCAATCCACTTGGTACTAGAGGGTATCAGATATAATGCAAATCCATACTGCTTCCCTCCTTGTAGTTATTACAGTTTGCTAAAAGGTTCCTAATGTCATTTATCATCATTTACCATCGACCAAAGAGGTTATGATTATGATATCCTATCAGTTGGCAAGGCCCTTTCATTTCTATTCAATTAATATTTTAGCAGCACTCAAATGGTTGTGGCCCGAGTCTCATAATAAAATTTACAGGGTTTAAAGTGAATGCAAGTTTTCTTACCTTGATTAAAAATAACAATTACATATAAATATACATACGCACACACACAAACACATGAATATTTATATATAAATGTGTAGTATGCTGTTTTAGTATGCAATTTTAGATTCTAAATGTGTAGTATGCTGTTTTAGTATGCAATTTTAGATTCTAAGTGTTGCAGATTTCTAAAGTTTTCTTACTTTCTAAAATTCAGATACTAAGCTACATTTTTTTCATCGGATTACGGAATTATCAACTATGAGGAAGTCTGGAGTGTTTCTCATTCCACCCCTTTTCAAAATGTGGTTGTTCATTTCCCTTCAACAGTCCTTACAGACTGAATTTACATTTGTATTGTTCCTAATCTGTATCGGATATTCACTTTTTAGAGTGGTAACTGCTGCTGTCAGATTCAATCTGGAAAGACTTCTTTAGTTACAGCATTACAGGTAAAGGACAGAACAAGTAGCATTTAGTAATGGTATCAACTGAGCATCCTGTTCTGTCCACAGTCACTGACCCACTTAGAGGACATCCTGCATTCATAAAGATCAGCAGAAAGCAAAAAAAGTACGTAAACTCTGAACCAAATAAATGGCCTATCTAAAACAAATGAAAAAAACCCACTCAGAGAAATCCTTAGGGAAAGGGACCAATGTTCTTCCATTTTTAAAAATTCCATTTTGAAGTTATCACAATAAACCATGTGCCATTTTTAACCAGGTCCTACTTGCCATCTTCACTTTCATGCTTGAGCATAAGCCAGGGACAAAGAATGCACGAATTCCCATTACCGCCTAGAACACGCCACCCTAACTTTTCTGGGTTTTGTTTTTTTTTTTTCAGCCTTCATCTGCCCGGCTCTATCAATGCTACTAAAGATTACCACAAAGTAGAATCATATTTTATGCTCCAATTCCGTATCATGTCACCAAGTTCCCCTTTAAAAAAATCCACTAATTCTACCAGACTAATGCTATTTACTCAGTTACCAAAATTTAAATTAATTATGTTCTCAAACATAATTGTTAAAAATTGGCAACATTATGCAGGCTTAATTAAGATTAAATCCAATTTACTAAATGTACTTTAATTGGTACTAATTACATTAGCTTTCATTTCAGAATGACAAATTCCCCATAGGTTTCACTTTATAGTTCTCTATCAGAATCAACACAGGGTGACTGATGATGAGCATCAAGCAGAAAGGGGAGGAGACCGGCACCCCTCCTGTTTGTCAATGCTTCATACTTTTATCGTTTGATCAATTTGCTAAGACACAGTGTCATGACTCCATCACAAGTATCATTTTCTGTTCCAATGAAAAATTTCTCTAAAAATAAATACTCTATGGCTGGCAGCAGCCAAGAACAGGAGCGTTAACCAAAAAATACACAAAGGTTTCATATATCAGGGCCACCGATTACTAGGGTACTTCCAAGGACTCCGGAGACTCCAACTCTTGAACCCTCCGAGACACAAATCTAATAAGTGAATAAGCCTAACCCGATCTTGAGAACTAGGCCCAATTATGCCGCAAGGCAACTTCCCTGCATTATTGCTGCTTTCCATTACAAGGGTATCCAGCGAGTGCATCTGGAAGAGGCCTAAGAGGAACTGAGGCTGTCTGCCTAGGAAAACAAATAAAGACAGATATGCCTCTGTGCTTAAGGGGGAGAAAGAAAGAAAATATAATAAGTAGGTGGTTTGCAGGGCTGTCTGTATTTCATAATGTGATAAACTGCCCTCAGGATTCTTGATATGATTGAATTTAAAAGCAAGAGGGAAAAAAAGGGGAAATGTACTCTTCTCAATTTTAAATGGATGGTGTTTGAGGCCAGCTGGACAAGAAGATGACAGAATTATAGAGGTACGAAATGTGTAAAATTAAGGGATCGCACATACCCCTCTCTCAAAAAGAAATACAGCCAAATATAAGCCATGTGCTTCTCACAAAAATGAACGGTATAGAGACATAGAAACTAAGCGGTTAGGATAAATGAGATACAGGAGGAGGAGAAATAAAGGGACATTAATCATCTGGTCTAAACTTTAAAAAGGCACTAATTAATCTTGGGGGTTGGGGTGAGGGAAAAAAACAAGGCATGTACAAGATCCAGATCTAAAATAAAATGTAACAAGGATAATTAAATAAACAATCTCTCTCATGTAATTTATTCCTCTAAAGGAGGGCTAAGGGAAGTCCATCCATGAGCCTGAGTGGATTTTGTTTAAGCAGAAGATATTTACATAACTAATCTAAACAGAAATGGCAAAGATGCTGAAATAAGAATTTAATTTTAACACGTAGCATTCAAACTATACTATAATGCTAATATTGACATTCTGAAATAGCATTCAAAGTAAAATAGTGTCTGAAATCAAAGTCCTCAGTGTAAGTAAGGTCTCATTTTTGCCCAACTTTTTGTTTTCAAATACTACCCATCTGATTGCCTTCACTGTCTGTAATTTTTTTTATAGATCTATTATGTGGATATGTTCTGAGCATATGGTGAATAACTACACCCAAAAAAGTCACTAAATAGTAAAAGCCTAATCACTAAATAGTAAAAACCTAATAAAATACAGCCATTTCATTCTATCTAAAGTTAGAAGGTAACAATATCTACCTTACACATAAATAAGAGATGAAAAGCAGAGTCTTCCCTTGTCTTTTTCCCAGCAGGCAAACATATACACACCTTTCTGAAACAGCTGATGAGACCTGAAGCACTTCCACTAGGAGATTTCTAAAAAGAAATGCTTCCTAGAGGATTATTATTGCCAAACAATACTTTATATAAATATGTGCTATTTTTCTGTCTAGGAAACTTAAGCCAAACCATTTTATTCAGTCTCCTGGAAGGGGGGGGAGGGGAGCGGCTATTTGAGTCATACTTCTAGATGCTTTCCAACTAATCATTATCTCTCTCCCCCTTTTTTTAAGCCTAACTAATTGCTAGATTTCAAGACTCAGTGTTGAACTTTATCACATCCTCCTATCAGGCTCATTTACTCTGTACAAATTTTGGAAGCAACGGTTACAGTTCTTGGTAAGTAGCCTCGGGGGACTAATACAAGGATTTTACATCAATTTCTTTTGTAGCTCCACAGTTTTCATTCAATCCTCCCAGCTCACCCTCGAGATCTAGTCTTTCACACCAACCCAATGAAGTCTCCACATAATTTACAGTGTGACTTTTTAATATTTTCTAAGAAAAGCTTTCCTAAGATAAGTTTGCAATGCCTGAAATGCACAAAGCAACTCTTTCGAAAGAAAAACAAGACATATGTTTAAAAACTGGCATCCTGCTCTGGAAAGTGTCAAAGTTTAATATGCACTTAAGACTTTCAAAATAGCATTATCAAATCATTAAAACTGGGATAATATGGAAGATGGGAAACCACACATGAAAACAAAGCATTCTCTGCGGTATCCAATCTTAAAATACAGGTTGCCACAACAGTGCACAGAACAAAATGGCAAAACATAGTAATTCTCTTTTCCAAGTACAGCAGCATAAGTGACTACCATTTAAAATGGTTATAAAGAATGAATAACTTACCTGCTTGTGCATTTCTATATTCAACCCATAGGACATTTCGTAATACTGTCAAAGAAAGAAAAGCAATTAAATGCATGCCGCTTACCAGTCTCCCTAGTTTGTTCAAAATGCGCCAAGTATATTTCAAACAACAAACCTCACCTTAACCAGAATATCCATAATATTAACACCTACATCAAGAGTGATGTCTAATCACCATCTTTAGCCTAATAAAGGGGTGGCCACTGTAAGAGAGTCTAAAAATAACTCACAGAACTAAGAAAAATTAAGTTTAAAAACACCACGCTTAACATCCCTAGTGGTCTTTATATTGCAATTACGACAAGCAGATGAATCAAAAATACCTGATGAAAATTCAGCACCACATAGACTCTAAGTCCTAGACACAGTGGGCAAGTGAATGGCACAAGCACATCTTGTACAAATGCTGGTGCAAAACACGGTTCTGAAAGGTGATACTGCTAAGAGTTCAGCATCTCGTTTGTAATGTACTGCTCAGAGCCACACAGGCAAAGCAAGGAAGCTTGCGAGAAAATAAATAAGTTACTCTGCAGTCTTTATAAAATCATAAAAATATGCTTCATACTTCTGTAAAAGCAGACCTGACTTTTTTTTTTTTTGAATATGTAGTATAATTGGCATTACACAAATTCTGGCAGAACAAATCAGTTATACAGGAGACTACAACAATCCTCAAACCAATATAATACTACAGAAATTGAAAACACACACACACATATAAACATAATAGTAACAGAAAAAGTGGGCAATAATTTTGAAAAGGAGTCTCATGTCTTATCCGTCATTCTTAAAACCAGGAATAAGACGATTACAATTTTAACAATATACAGAAAAATTGTCTGGTTAGAACTGTTTGGAGCAATAGCAATAAAACAACAAAGAAAACCACTAACACAAAAACATTTTGCTTGTGACTAAACAAAACATAAATGAGGTGTTTTTTTTTTTTCCAATCTGTAAAAACAAAGAACAGAAAATTATACCCCAGCTGAACTTTTTGAAAATTCCAATCAAAGCTGGTTGTCAAATGCAAGTTCTAACATCCTAGAATTACAGGCTGCTAATGGACACATTCCCACAACCTCAACTGCACTGGCATGGCAGGGCGACTGTGATCTACCCTATAGCCTGCAGCAATTCGAACGCAGTCTTGCTCTTGGTATCCCAAACAGGCACTTTGAATCTGTGACACACTTTTCTTACCATGACATAATGCCGTTGCATCTCAGTCTTCTCACTGGCGAGTTTCTCACATTCCAGCTTCAGACTGTTCAAGACATAAGATAACCTTAGTACACTGCAGAACTTAACTTGCGTCCTTCAGATCTAAATAGACAATCTCTCTTCTAAATCATCACCTACACACACCAAATCAACCATCTTAATATCACCCTCATTAGTGAAAGGGAAGGTAGCAAAAGAAAGAGGTGCCTGGATCCAGTCTAGACTTGCCCTGCAATAATGCTCAAATGTAGGATTTTTAAGTCTTAAGGAAATAAACCCAGACTCTAAGGAACCTAATTCCAGAACTTCATCAATAGAATGGAATATTGACTAAGTTCACCTCATAAAACAACAAGGAAATAAACAATACACAAAGCAGCGCAAGTCCCCAAAAATGTCACGAGGGAGACTTTTCTTTAATGGCCTACGAAGAGATTAATGAAAATATGAATCAAGCATGCCTTATGAATGATGTCTTTTTTTTTTTTTCCCTCCAAAATAACAGACAAGTTGAAGTTGAATACCACCACCCGGGGGCAAAGTGTCTGACTGGGTTCAGTGACTTGTTTTGGTTCTTGTATTTATGAAATAAGAATTACGCACTATGAAAAAGCTAACAAAAGAAAAATGTTGCCAAAGAGCCCAAAGTCTAATAATCACTTCTAAGATGTAAACATGTTTTCAGCATAGAAGTAATGAAATCGCAAACTCCTGACTTCCCAGGGCTTGCAGCTCTTCAATGGAAAGGCAGGAAGAAGTGAAAAGGAATCAAGCCCAGAGTAATAAAGAACCAAAGAAGTCAAAAGGCCCCAGAATCTTCCCAACCTTCCATTCTCTTGGCCCCAATAAATCAATATCGAAAGTTTAGTCTCAGCGTTTTCCGAATCTCCCCAGTTTCGATTATTCTGCCTCCTGGGTTCTTTTTCTTTTTTAAAAAATCTTTTTTTATTTACAGGAGAAGAAATGCTTAATTTCTTTACACCTGCCTAAAGGAAGAGGCCTTGACTTGCCCTTTCTACCCACAGGAAAGAATAATACCTTTGCGGTGGCCAAAGCGGGGAAAAAAAAAATTGGGGGTGTGTGCTTCTGTGTGTAGGTTTGGTGGGGGAAGAGACAAGAGCTAAGCAAACAGGAGGATCAGCTAAAGTCAATATCGTTACCTGTGATATTGAGCCTGTAAAAACTGAAACTCTTCCTTAATCCGATCACAGGATTCGGAAATTGTAAATTTAAAGGGTTGAGCAGGCTGATGAGGTGCCTAAAGAACAACAATAAAATATTTAATTAGCCCACATCACAGGCGAAGCAGGGAGATGGGGAAAACACCACGCGGCGCCGGGAAGGGGGGGTCGTGCAGGCAGCAAAGAGCGATTAAAACTCTCTCCCGCCCCCCTCCTCTTCCCAACAGCCCGGCAGGGGCTGATTTCGCGGTGGCTCTGGGCCCCCGCCTGCTCCCCCCGCACCCCCCTGCGTGCTCCAGACCCCGAGGGTTCGAACCCCGGGTTCCCTCTCTGGCCGACGCCTGGCGCCTAGGGGCCGGAGCGCCGCCGCGCCCACTCCCTCCTCACCCGGAATCGAAACTGGCCCGTCGGGGGGATCCGCGCCATTGCGTC